GGGTACGTACAAAGATTTCTATGATTTTTAAAGTTTCAAATGGGTATGATGAAAAAAGACAACTGAACAGGCCTGTAAAGTGTAGCGCATATACCAGGTCTCATTTGACCAATTTCTTCAATGATGCTCAGGAATTGAGTATCACCACTGTGTTACATTGAAGAAACACGTTTGTTTCGCAGCCAACAACGAGTCCCAAACCTACCTTTTCCAGATGTAAACAAGATAGCACAGCTTCGTTGGTAATTAATGTGCAAACTGTAGACAGCAAATGACAAAGCATATGGTGTGATGAGTTGCATTTTGCCATTTTTTTTTTATGAACATTAAAGTAAAACAAACTACATGAGGCACTTGCTTCTGTTGTTCTGATAGGGCAATCCTCTGAAGGTAATTTGATGATGTGGGGAATGCTATCCTGGCAGAGATTGGCTCCTTTGCTTCCTTAAAAGGGCAAGTAATATCTCTAGTGTGTCTGTACACTATTCCAGATCATGCACACATGAATTTCTGCCATGATAGATAAGGGTTACTCCAATCCCCTTAAATTATTTAACATGAATCTGAAGACAGTTATCTTGCTTGGTAAGTGTAATCACCAGACCTTAATCCAATCGAGATTCTGAGATGCAGTTTAAACTGCGATCCTCTACCAATATCCACAAACTATTTGCAGACCATATACTTTGATTAATGAGCCAAATGAAACCAGATAACATTATTCAAGTGAAAATTACATTGAAATATTTGGTGGTATCTTAGTAGAGTGTACAGTTAGTATAGAACCTGAAGGTACAGATAAAAACAACTACCTAAGTCAATGGCATAACTATGTTTCTGCAATTTTGGGTGGACCTAAGGGACTTGACAAACTTAAAAATTGCCAACAAGTGGAATAAATGTAGGGGTCCAGTTACTTTTTTTGTAGGGGGGGACATCTTTCATAGTTATGCCACTGATGTAAATTGTCATAAATATTTGGCTGTTGGTAAAAATATTAGCAAATCATACTGTGAAACGGAACCAAAAATAGTAATATAATTAAAAACACTAATTATTTAAGCAATAGGAACTTAACATATAATTTTTTAAAGAATCGTTTTTTCTTCTACCACTCGTTCATGAAAAACAGAAAATTATATTAAAAGCATGAGTGTGTTAAGTGAATTCTCACAGTGCTATCGCATACCAAGAGAGTTTGTCATTCTTAAATATGTACTGAGTGATACTTATTTTCACAGAACCAGCAGGAAATAAAGTCCAGATCAAAGAACTTATTGATCAAGGAAGTTTAGAAACTCTAGAAGAACTCTTACTTCAAGGCCATGGAGATAAGTTATTGGGTGAGACATCTAACAACGAGAGAATCCAGGAGTTCTTAACGATGGTACCGATATACATGGTAAGTGAATCCTCAACTGTCCAATCAGATCCAGTTCCTATTTTTGAATTTTTTAGTAAATATTGACACCTCATGGTTATAGATAGTAAATAGTTAGTTTGAATATATATATGTTAATAAGAAAATATAGTGAAATAGTAATTATATTAAGCTGAAGCGAAGAAGCTGAGTTATCGTAAGTAAACAGGAAATAAATATTTACAAGTTCAGTAATGAAAATTTACCAGGAAATAAGTAGTTACAGATCACCCTTAAAACTATTACTTAGAAATTATCACAAGTATGTCTGTTACTAACATTTTAAAATGGGAATGCTTAGTATAGAAACTACAAGTAGTCTAGTGCTTGGTCCTGGATAGTATTCATGATTCCTGTCTCTTCTGTGTTAAGGCACAATTTCTGTACGACTGACAGAGATAAATGATATTCAGCTGAAAAGGAATGAACCACGCTTCATGTATAGAGCATAATACATACCTTGTCTCATGTACTGTATATTTCATGTATAGAGCATAATACATACCCTGGTCTCCAGTACTGTATGCTTGACGAATAGAGCATAAAACATAGCTTGGTCTCCTGTACTGTATATTTCATGTATAGAGCATAATACATATCCTGGTCTCCTGTACTGTATGCTTCGTGTATAGAGCATAATACATAGCTTGGTCTCCTGTACTGTATATTTCATGTATAGAGCATAATACATATCCTGGTCTCCTGTACTGTATGCTTCGTGTATAGAGCATAATACATACCTTGGTTTCCTGTACTGTATATTTCGTGTATAGAGCATAATACATACCTTGGTCTCCTGTACTGTATATTTCATGTATAGAGCATAATACATACCCTGGTCTCTTGTACTGTATGCTTCATGTATAGAGCATAATACATACCCTGGTCTCCTGTACTTTATATTTTATGTATAGAGCATAATACATACCTTGTCTCCTGTACTGTATATTTCATGTATAGAGCATAATACATAGCTTGGTCTCCTGTACTGTATATTTCATGTATAGAGCATAATACATAGCTTGGTCTCCTGTACTGTATATTTCATGTATAGAGCATAATACATACCTTGGTCTCCAGTACTGTATGCTTGACGTATAGAGCATAATACATACCTTGTCTCCTGTACTGTATATTTCATGTATAGAGCATAATACATAGCTTGGTCTCCTGTACTGTATATTTCATGTATAGAGCATAATACATACCCTGGTCTCCTGTACTGTATGCTCCATGTATAGAGCATAATACATACCCTGGTCTCCTGTACTGTATATTTCATGTATAGAGCATAATACATACCCTGGTCTCCTGTACTGTATATTTCATGTATAGAGCATAATACATACCCTGGTCTCCTGTACTGTATATTTCATGTATAAGGCATAATACACACCCTGGTCTCCTGTACTGTATATTTCATCTCTACAAAATTTTTTGTATTTCTCAAAGTTCTAGTGTGGAACTTTTTAAATCTGGTTGAAGTTCACATACCAGATTAATTTGGAGATATTACATTCTGTAGACTGTCTAGTCAATAGATTTATCTACTGTGTCATGGGGCAGTTGTATGCTTTACCTTGTATATAGAAAACTAGATGTTTTGACATTCTTGTACCTGTTTCCTGATCAGCCAGTTAAGAGATAAGTGGTTTGTGAATGCAGTTATTGTTTTACCATATCTTGCTAATTGTGCTCTTTTCAGTAACATACCAATTATTACCTCCATCACCATAGGTGATTAAGGTTATGTTTTCACCCCGTTTGTACATGTGTGTGTGTTTGTCAGCAAGAGTTCTTGAAAATGGCGGAATGGATTTGGACGAAAGTTGGTATACATTTGGACTATGACTTAGAAGTGATTAGTTTTTGGAGGATCAAGGTCACAGCCAGGTCACGAAAATCCAAAAAATCCCTACCTGTTAACATGAGGACCAATTTTTGCTCTATAACTGAGTCGAAAATAATTGGATTTTGATGAAATTTGGTGGACTTGCGTAGAATAGTATTCCTGCCAAAAATGGTCCGTGTTTGTTGATAAGACGGACACATGGACACATTTTAGTATTTTTTGAGG